CCCCAAAACCCCAAAACCCCAAAACCCCGGCATTGCTATTTGAGATTGAACTTTTATCCTCCAATATATATTAATCATGTCGATTTATAGGGTACAATACGCAAAATATTACTAAAATGGATAGGAATATGACATAAATTAAAAGTGCCGTTTGAATATAAAATAAATAAAAATTGTGAATTTTAGATAAAAAAATTGTATTAGAAACTCATTAGAATAAATTTGCTCTAAGAACCCTGCCCATTTATCTTACCGATGATTCACAGAGTGGTGAGTTGAGATGGGTGAAATATCAGGGAATGACTTTTTGAAAACAAATCAAGATTAGAGAGGGTTCTGGAGGGAGATAGCATTATTTGAGAGTAGTAGTGACCCTTCAATACTCAATGACAACAACTAGATCATGATTCTCGTTAGTCTAACTTCAAAATTTGGGGTCACTAGTTTCATGGGATATTTAAGTTGGCTTTACTGCATCATGGATGTAGAAAAAATAGATTTTGAGAGTATTATATCAGCGAAATCATGAACTTTGGAATGTTGGATTTTGGGAGTTGGATATTCAAGAAGTTGACTCTTCTTGATTTTTTTTATTTTGATTTACTCCACCAGAACTTTGTTCATGAAATAATTTGATCCCCCTAAATCGACTTTAAACAACCGATAGAAGGGATATTAGACAGCCAATTCTCTGTATTAATAATCGGGCTCACTCTAAAAATGATTCCTGCTTTGGAGCTGCTCTGGAACCTAAAAGTGATCTAGCCAACTCCCTAAAATGAAACCCCTAAATACTATATATAATTGTAGGAAAATTGAATTTTTGAAATTATTTTTACCACTTTAGTATCCCAGAAAAGAGGCTGATTATTCAGTGAATTTATAAAATAGTGATTCCTTAAAATTTATTAAGGTTCGATAAGATTGAGTAGTAAAGAAAACAATAAAGATTTTATAAACTTTGGCCTGAGTCACAAGCTCGTAAAGCTTGTTTGTTGTTATTTTCAAGAGATCTCCTGCAAAAAAATCAAACCTTAGAAGATTCTCGCCCTATTAATCTCTAAGATGGACTTCTTCAGGCTAAAGACTATAAAATCAAGAGAGAAAAGTTTAATTTAGATAAGAGTGAGGATGAGAACTTTCTATATTTTAAACTAAAATTGAAGTACAACTAGTGATTTATATTTTGCGGGATTCTTAATACTGAAATGAAATTTTGCTTTAAAAGTTTTAAAGAGAAAAGGATGATAATATGGTGATAACATGAACAAATATTGCCCTTCTCTGCATTTACTTCCAGTCCTAAGAGCTTTATGTATATTTTTCATTCAAGACTTTGCTTTCTTCATTTTGAACTTTGGACAATAACTCAGAATTTTGAGTATTCCTCAAGATGTCTTTATAAACATTTCAGATCTTGCCGAATCTGAATGTCTGGCCTGCTCTTCTATATTTTATCTTTAGTTAACTATTATAATAGCAAATGAGTTATTATTATTTTCTTAATTTGCTGTATTGTTGTTTTAATAATCTTTCCATCATCTTTTTCAGGCACTAGCTTATATACTTTCAGGTGATCTACTCAGTTTGATTCATGAAATTCATAGGGCACATTTAGTATTAATATGCACAAAAGAGTTATATTAAAGAACCCAAACATTAAGATGATTATTAATCTCTTATGCCTCTCACATAGAGCTAGAAATGCGCTCTGAACTCTTTAGAAAAAGAAGAATAATCAAAACCCGCAGCTTGAAGGTAAAGTTATTTATTTATAAAACAATCTTATGCATCCTCTGGATGTCTTGCTTAATGTACTTGGAGTACTTGGCATCCATACTGTTAAATATCTCCTTAATCTGTTCTCTTCTTTCGCCTTCTGTCTGTCTTTTTCAAATCAAAATTTTCCCTTTTGTCAAGTTCATGGTTCTTTCTAGAACCATCTTTTTGGCCTTCTTTTTATTCCAGAAGTTTGGAATTAAATTAATCTTTTTGCTAAAGAAAGCCAGTTTCTTTGGTTTTGGAGAGAACAACTGTTTGGTTCAGGTAAGGTTCTTTTGTCTAGAAAAATATTAATAAATATGTTGGATGAAGAATTTCGAAATTTTTCTGAAGAATCAATAAAAAGATGGAAATAGAGATCGTGCTTACCTGATTGAACATACAATGCTCCTACGTTTCATTCTCAATTTGGCAGTATTGATTCTCTATAGAATATGAATATCTAATGAGATAAAAGAATAAGTGGAGAAGTACTTCTGACATAAAATCTAAGAAACTCAATGAAAGCTTTTTCAAAAGAGTTAAATAGACTCAATATTTACTATAATTTAAGCGAGTGTTTGTCGTTTGTAATCCCAGTTCTATTAATGCTCAAAAATATTAACTCTTATAAATCTATTGATTCCAGGGCCTGACTAAAATGTTATTGCATAGAAATAGATAGTGACGATTTAACTAGTCTTAGAAATCTATCCTCATAAAAGTTTTAATATTTTAGGTTGTCAGTACGTTTCCCGCATGCCACCAAACTTGCTCTCGAGAAGCTAAGTGGCTTATAAATTATTACCCTATAAAGATATTTAAATTAAAGTTTTAATAAATTGGTTGATTCCTTAGTCTTGATTTATATATAAAAGTAACTTAGGCTGCTTAGGAATTTTCCAGAATTTCTAATCATTCTGAAACATCACTATCTGCCACTATTTATTTGATAAGAAAGATTTAGTAGAAGTAAGACTAAAGGAAGCCATTGCTCTCGAAGAAAGAAAGACAATAAAGCACTCACAATGAATTTGTTTAATATTTATTAGGAAGTTTGCTATGAATTCTCTGGTGAGTACATTATAGAATTAGAAGAGATATAGGGCTTATATACAAGATTCGGATTAGAGTAAGTTAAAATTAATCGCAGCATGGCTATCAGTGCTTGGAAAGCTTTTATTAAATGGATATTAGTAATTTACTGTTCAAACTTTGATAAATTATTAAATCAAGAAAGAGTGTTGAGAGATTACTTTACTAACAAATTCTCTAAAATTTAAAGAGCTAAAGTTTGATGTGTTCAGATCCTCATTTATCCCTTTTATTAAGCATAGAAACGTTATTTGTTCTATTATAGCTGTTTACTCCAACCCTAACACTACAGTATTATTGCTAGTTTTAAGAGACTCATTGGTTCTTTTGAAAAATGGAAGGATTAGATTTTTTTAATTTCTACTAAGAATTTTGCTCAATACTAACACTGCAAATTTTCAAATTGCTCATGATTGTGAGCAACACACTCGAGTTTTTCATCACTAAGCTATCTATATGCTAACAATGGACCAATTAAAAATTTTCTTGATATTCTTCAAGCGCTATTCCAAGAGAAGTTATAGTGTTGGATCTAAACACTTGACGATATAATATTGAAATAAGCAAGAATTCATATAAGGCTTATCTATAAACTAATTACCTGCAGTAATCAACCCATGTACATTTAATAAGAAAAGTGCACTAACTAAGAAAAGAAATCACTCGATAAACAGCATCTGAATTGGTCAATATGAAAGTTTCGTAGATCTCTATTTGAAAATTATAGGCTATGCTCTGACAAAGAATAACATTCTGAAGCCTGATGAAGTCTTTACTCATTTTGCTGACTTTTGTACAACTAATACTAAATAAGGAAGTTTCAGTTTGTTAGCCTGGAAAATAAGGTGTATAGAATGGCTCTGTCAAGAAGAGCCTAGTTGATATTATGTTCATATATAAATAAAATTCGTTTAGAGATTATTTTCAATAAAACTAGAATCAAACTGTTCAGAAAGTATCCACAATCGAGATTCAGTAAAAATTTGAGTTTCGATTTCCTTTAGGTAAATAAAAGTGTCTACAAGAGATAAAAGAAGTCAAGCTTTTAGAGATACTTTTTATTAACTTACCTTTTCACGTGCAATGCTCCTGCGATGAATTGTTTTGATGTCAGGAAGTGTTTCACCTCAAAAAGAATTTCTGAGGGGAGCCTCGATACTCCTAAGTCTTGTCCTTCTGTGATTCTTTGAACTCATTATTAATTTCCTATTGATGAATAATATTTAACCTTATATGGGGTTTTGGGGTTTTGGGGTTTTGGGGTTTTGGGG